AGTGTCAGGGCTCCAGCTCCGGCCTCCGCCCAGGGCCTGTGCCCGCGGCCACGGCTTCCCGAGGCCCCGCCCACTCCGGCGTGTGCTGCTGGGTGTGTGCGTGGGAGTGAGAGTTCTGCTGCTGCCATTACACATTTCATCTGCGTCCCTCGCAGCTTCCACGCTGGTTTCTGCTCAGCGAGGAGCTCGTCCCTCAAGGCCTTTGAAACGGCCCACGGCGGGCGATCTGTAATTGCCCACGGAGGCGGTGGCTGCGGCCGCTGCCGGCAGAAACAGCTTCGCTTGGCTCCTGCCCAGCCTCTCTGCCTGCGGCCCCCAGAACAAAGCCGGGCAACACGCGCGCAGTGGGAGCTGCGGGGAGCCTGGCCGCGGAACCCGCACGGCCGTGTCCTCCTCACACTCATTCACGTTTCATCAATGCGCCTTCTGCCCCTTTGCCACGTACCCTCTGGGCAAAGGAATTAACTTCTGAATTAACCAAACGAAATGGTATCTTACACAAGCGACGTGAAAAGCAGAAGGCAAGCAAGCCAGGAAAATCAGCTTTGCAGAGTAATGGAAACGCTACGGAGCTGGTCTAGTGAATGAGATAAATATTAACTGAAAAAAAAACACGGCAAATGACTGGATTGCTCAAGACCATTTTCACTTAAATATATGTGCAGACTATGTGCGTGACCCGACACTTCGGACGTACAGTTACAGAGGCCTGTGTGCACACATTCACATTCAATCCCTGCACGCACATGCATTACTGATTACACTAAAGTAGTGATTGCTGAGTAACAGAATTACCACTGATTTTCTTTCGGCATTTTCTAGATTGTCTATGATGGAGATGCGAGCTTTCCTGGGGCTACCATGTGACTGGGACCCCAGTTTCGAGAGCCCTTTTCCATCCATTAGGACTCCAGAGACGAATGCCCCACCCACTGGGACTCTGTGCACAAGCTCCCCAACCCAACAGCATGCCTGGGAGTTCATGGCAATAAAAACCGAAACATCAACAATGCGCCCATTCCTGGCCAGCGACCGCTCCTCCCTCAGCCACGGGGAGCCTCTATGAGGCACTCAACCTCTCCGTTAAGCAAACAGCACAACCTACTGCGCAGGGGAGGACAGGTGGCGGGTGGCTGGCCAGGCCCCAGCAGCAGCAGGCAGCTGGTCATTAACACTGCAGGACGGGAGTGGCGGCCAGCCCCCACACAGAGGGCGGGAAAAGCGGGTGCAGTCACCTCGCTGGAGGAGTGTGCTGCAGGTGGGAGAGAAGGGGCGGAAACAGGGGAGAGAGTGCCCTGGCCCCGCCCCGGTCTCCTGGTCCTTCATCCCTAAGCCGGCTGAGGCCGGACGTTAAGCGAGTCACTCGTCCTTCCGAAGCTCAGATAAGAAATAGCGACAATAATTGGTATATCTCAAGTTCATGGTGAAAATCAAATGAGAACATGCAGATAAAGGACCCAGCACAGGGTCTGGCATACACGGGGGTCCCAGTCCATGAGAGCCCTCCCCCCATCTCCTTACACCCCAAAGGGGCTGTGCTCTGCCAGAGAGAGGCAGGGAGGCCACAACTCGGGTCACAACCGTGGCTGCCCCCCGACATCACCTGGGCAGCTTTAAAATGGTCAGCTGAGATCTTTTTTAAAAAAATTGATTTTCTGAGAGAGAGGAAGGGAGAGGAAGAGAGAAATAGAAACATCAATGATGAGAGAGAATCACTGATCAGCTGCCTCCTGCACGCCCCCCACGGGGGATCGAGCCCGCAACCCAGGCATGCGCCCTGACCGGGAGTTGAACCGTGACTTCTTGGTTCCTGGGTCGATGCTCAACCACTGGGCCACACTGGCCTCGCACACCTGGGCGGCTTTAGAAACGACTGAGATTCTGACCTCACTGGTCAGGGGAGCGGCCGGGCACTGCAGACCACAGCCACGATGGGCCTGGGCATTGCTCACGGCTGTATGAGTGGAGCCAAAGCCATCGTCACTGCTCTCCTCGCCACAGTCACTGAGTGATTACTACATGGCCAGGGATGGAGCTAATTGCTTTATATACATAATTTCATTTAATTCTCATAAAACCCTGCCTGGTAAGGATTATCCCTCTCATTTGTCAGCGAGGACACGGAGGCCGGGATAGTTAATGAGTCACAGGAGCCCCACTGCTCCCAGGCAGCCGATCCGGGATCCGACCCCAGGCCTGTCTAACACTGACAGTGGTGGCACCAGGGGTGAGCTGGGGAGGAAGCCTCGGTGCCAGGGCAGGAAGGTGCATGTGGTTGAGGCTCTAAAGGCCAGTGAGAGGGCCGCCTCCCGCCCTGGCACTAAGGCAGGCCTGATGGGGGCGTGAAGACTGCGCTGAGAGGGACCTGGGAACTCATGAGGCTGGGGGGTGGGGACCCTTTGAGGCAGTCTAAGCAAAGGCCCTGGGGTCTTGGGGAGCACTGAGCAGTGACTGGAGAAGCAGAGGGCCTCAGGTTCACTGCTGCTTGGCACTGCCCTTGACCTCTGACCCCACTGGGCAAAAGAAGCTCTCACCAATGGCCAGCCGTGCCCTCCCTCGGCAGGGCCCAGGGCCCCTTCCAATGGTCTGGGTAGCCTCCATCCACATCCTCACTATTTCCCCAGCACCGATCCCCTGCTCTGTGCTCCTGGCTGCGGACACATGATATTCCCCTCCAGCCCTGGATGCCCAGTACCCCCTCCCAAACCCCTCCCCCGCCCCCATGCAGCTGGAAGGAGCCCTGAGCCCCATGTTCCAAGGTTAGGAGACGGGGCGGAACGACTCCTTCCCACGCCCCATGCTTCCCTTTAGCCGGGCAGCTAACCAGAGGATAACGAGACATCCGCGCGGGCAGCAGCCCCTGAGATGTGTTGGCAGCGCCAGCCCCTCCAAATCAAGACGCTGGCACGGCTCTCCCAGCCACTCAGAGGGCAGTTACCATCTGTTTATGGAAAAACTGGTAATAACCCCCAATCACAATCAAATCGGCAACCACTCTGCTGTAAGTGCCTATTAACTGGTGTGACTCCCGGGGGCGCCCCTGGAGTGCCCATCGGAGGCCCGGTGCCCCTCCACCCACGGGGAGGACGGGGAGCGCTCGCCGATGGAGCACCGACGGTCTTTTACCGAAGCCCGGCCAGCAGCTCCTGGCGCGCTCCCTCCCCACCTTCCAGCGTCCGCTGCCTTGCCATGCGGTCCCCCGCATTTCCCGGGAGAAATACAGGACATCCTCTGAGCCTGGGAAGCAAGACTCCTCCATCAGCGCCCGTCCTCCTCCAGACCAGGTGTGCCCCAGCATGAGAAACGGGGACTAATAGGAGGCATGTGTACTGTCTGTGCAGCGGCATTCAGAGGTCATCAGACAACGCAAGAGGCACCCTGGTGCTCTAAGCCGTCCGACATGGGGCCACGCTGTTCCAGACACGGACAATTTATAGGAAAAATCCGTTCTCCATGCTGCCCAGGCTGTGGCAGGGTCTCAGCTGGTGGTGCTCCCCCTTGGGGGAGGCCCAGTGTTTCCTCGGGTGGAGAAGGGAGACTGAGGAAGGTACCCCACAGAGGAAGCCTCGCACACGCAATAGGGTCAGCCCCAAAGCCCGGAGCCCGCGGATCATGCTGAGACCGAGGGCTGGGAGCGCGCTCGGTGGCCGTCCATCTCCTAACCATGTGAAACCCTGTTTGGCAGATAAAACATCTGCAATCAAGGTGCCCACGGGGGTCTGGTTGTATTGAAGTCAAACGGCAGCAGGCCAGACTTCTGTCCCTTCTTTATCATTTGCCAACACACGTTTCTCTTGGTCAAAATATTTCATGTGATCGGGGAAACCCGGCTGGCCGGGCGGTGATTTGCTGAGCTTAGTCAGGGGCAGGAAGCGAGCACAGAGGCCCTGACTTCTGGGAGGCCGGGCGGCACCCCGAGTTCCCTGCCTTCCTGTGTTTCTGTGGGCGTCTCTTGCTGCACAGCAGTGTTCTGGGCTCTTAGGGGAGTCAGCGAACCTTTTGAGAATATGAGGAAAGCTACGAACCAGTCCCGTTCCAACCTCCCACTCCGCCCGCCGGGTACGAACACGCAAGCATTCGCATGTGAGTCCCACGCCCACACCTGCCGTCAGTCCCGGAGCCCAAGGCCAGGACCCCTGACCCCCGACCCCACAGACACCAGATCACGTGCAGGTGCATAGAGATGCGTCTCTCTAGCTCCCACGATCTCCCCAGAAGACCCCAACCTGAACCCCAGCTGGGCCCCCTGATGGCTCCTGGAACCTCCCATCAGCCACCCTGCCCATCTCCCATCTAACATCAGCCATAAGGCAAACCTGGCTTGGAGTGTAGCTTGAAAGTCAAGTTTCTGCAGTTCAAGAGCCCAGCCTCCTTTGAGCCATTGGGCCAGATCCACCCCTGGGGCCCAGGGACCTGGCAGATGCAACGCTAATTCACCATGTTAACCCCTCCGTGCCACGCCCCCACCCAAGCCTCTGTGTAGAGCCACACCCTCGCCCCCCCCCTGCGGTGACAGAGTGGAGTGCGTGGGCCTCGGAAGCTGGCCAGCACTGAGGCAGTCAGGTGGCTCGTGGCACCTGTCCGGGGACTCTGCACGGAGCCACCCTACATCTCACCGGCTAGGACCTTCTCGCCACCACCCCACGCATGGGGGCAGCAAGGAAAGAACCAAGTTACCCAAACAAGCAGTCCGTCTGCCCTCTGATAACGTAAAGAAACAAGTCCTCTCATTGGCTCTCAAATGCAACTTCCCTCCCAAGTCACCCTCATGCACCAGCCCGGCTGCCCCAGCAAAACCAGAGGCTCCCAGTTGGTCCCCACAGATCCCAGCGCAGCGCTCAGTCCATCATGACCAGCACAGTAAAGGTGCAGGCGGGAGGAGGACCACCTCAGGGCATCACAGAGGCCCCGCCCTCCGAGAGCCAGGGAAGTGAAAACAGCATTGAAGAGAGCCCCGCTCCGCCCCCGTGAGACCCTGGCCAATGCAAGGCCCACCTTACCCTTCATGCCAAATTTGGACCGTCGGCCGTACTTGTTGATCATGATAAAGAGAACCACCAGCAGCACGCAGGCAAAGGCGGCAAGCCCGACGGCGATGGACACCTGGGAGGGCAGAGCGTGGGACAGTTACTTTGTCGGAGGAGCCCGCAGGGAACTCCGCCACCCCCAGGAGCCTTTAGACCAGGGGTGGGGAACGACCGGCCCGAGGGCCATGGAAGGCCCCTGAGATCACGTGGCCTGGCCCTGCCAAGGCATTCGGGGTGCGTTCATTAAATGTTCGACCACACGCAGCAGGCTAGGTTTTAAGTTGATCATGTGTATGGCCCGGGAGTGATGATGTAAACAGGGGCGGCCTCACAGATGCGCCCAGGGTTCTGAGCCCCTGGCCTGGGGGCGGCCTCACAGATGCGCCCAGGGTTCTGAGCCCCTGGCCTGGGGGCGGCCTCACAGATGCGCCCAGGGTTCTGAGCCCCTGGCCTGGGGGCGGCCTCACAGATGCGCCCAGGGTTCTGAGCCCCTGGCCTGGGGGCGGCCTCACAGATGCGCCCAGGGTTCTGAGCCCCTGGCCTGGGGGCGGCCTCACAGATGCGCCCAGGGTTCTGAGCCCCTGGCCTGGGGGCGGCCTCACAGATGCGCCCAGGGTTCTGAGCCCCTGGCCTGGGGGCGGCCTCAGAGATGCGCTCAGGGTTCTGAGCCCCTGGCCTGCGGGCGGCCTCACAGATGTGCTGGGAAGCCCCGCGAGGCCTCTGTCTCTGGTCTTGTTGTTTTGGTTAGCAAGCAAATTCTGTGTATTCACACTGACGTTCTCTACAGATACTCTTATCCAGGGAATTCCGGGAGATCTGGACTCTTCCCCCTGAGGAATCTCGGGCTCTGGCAGGCGGGGGTGGGGCAGGGCTTGGACACCCACCAGGGAGCTGGTGGGGAAACTTCGACTTCCTACGAGGCTTGCCCAGTGAGCAGCCCCTTTGAATCAGGCCCAGCCAGGCTCCTAGCAGCGTGGGGGTTTCCAGGGCTGGGAGCAGCTCCTCAAAGGTTTCCTCAAACAATGAATTACTCTCATCAAATAAGGGAGGGCTCGCGCCTGAAAGGAGGTCACTCGTCAGGGCTCTTTCTGCCGTACGTGCGTCCTGGCTCTGAGCGAGGCGGTATCAGGAGCGTTTGGTGCTCACTGCTCGGATGAAATGTGAAAACGGCCCCTTCCAACCCATAAGTCACTCACCCCAAAAGTGTCTTCCTCTGGCTTGTGGGTCACAGTGATAGGCGGTGTGGGGCTCACTTCATAGACTGCAAACCAAACGGAAAGGAGGAGGGTTAGCTTCCTGGCCAGGGGGTTGGGCTGGGGGGAGACATCCCCACCGGCTCCCCATGCCCAGAGTCCATGCTGGACAGCCTGCCCTTGAGCCCGCTCTTACTGCCCGACCTCCCCAGAGACCGAGGCCCCGCCTGGCTGCCCGGCTGTGACAGCCCAGGGGGCGCTCCATGAGGAACGCGGGGCCTTCACCCCCACCCCCATTCTCGGAGCGAAGAATGGCACCTGGGCCACGTGGACCGTGAGCTGCTGCATAAAACAGCAACAACAAGAAGACAGTTTGGGAACCAGCCAGGGCCCGGATTCCCCACGTTCAGGTGGTGACGGTGGCTGTCACTGACTGTTCTCTGCTGCAGGCTCTCCCATCCCCCCCACACACACACCCCGTGGCTCCCGACACCCTTCATCTCCCCCTTTTCACCCTCAGTGAGACCAGGCGGCCGGGAGCCCCACACACAACCCACGACCCATCGCCCTATTGCAGATGGCACAGCACACTGGCCGCTCAGGTAAGAGCCAGTGCAGCTGACCAGCAGGGCTGGTGGGAACCGGGTGTCAGTTTCTCCTCCACCTGGAACCACCTCCTTAGTCCCTGGGAAGGCCGCTCTGTGAGAGGGCAAGTCCTCGAGGACTGAGGGCAAGTATAGCATCTCTGACTGTGCTCCCCTCGGTGCCAGGCAGCACGGTGTCCTAGGCAGCCCTGTCCGCCGTCTCAGCCCCCTCCCGCGGGGAGCGAGGGAAAAGCCATGCTTCCCACAGCCCGTGAGCAGAACACCAGGTCCTCTGGGGAGTGTCGAGTCCTGGCCCCAATCATTGTACCCTGAGCCTCGTGGTCCCATGTGAGGACACACCAGGCCACAGGAGACCCTGTCCATCACCACCCCATGCCAGGTGGGGCCCGGCCATGCTCTGGGCCCTGGAGCAGGTGGAAAACACTAACAGGTGGAGGGGCTCCAGGTTCAAGAGCAGCTGAGATGGACAAGGTCTCTCCACGGGGCAGGTGTTTCCCGCCCCATCCCTTCCATCCAGGCGGGGAAACCCACACCAGGGTCAGGCCTAGGACCCGCCCTGGGGACACTGAGGCACAAGCGGCTGCCCAGGAGGTGGGCTTGCAGCACATGTCCACTCTGCAGCCCCCTTCTCCGTTCACTCCCATGACGTGCCAGGCGGCCAGGGGTCTGGGGTTGGGTGGCCCAGGGAAGAGGACCATTTGGATTCCACAGTTACCCAAAGGCTCAGAACAAATCAGCTTCAAAGCAAAAGGCAGAGCGGACTTACTGGAGACGAAGTTATCCGTGCTCTCTGCAAAAGAGACAAAGAGGCCGTTATGCAGCGTCATGGACAGCCGAGCGGGTGCACTGTGACCTTAAAGCCACGACCTCCCCACTCACCGTGACCCCACGTGACCCCAGCAGCTGGGAACCAAGTCCTGGGCACGTGACCCCTGCCCCATGCTCCACTGCCTCCAGAGGAGGCTGGTCTTCCAAAGGCAGAAGAAAAAAGACACAGAGTTCCCGATTTCACAAGAAATGGCCCGGCCTGGCTGGGAACCAAACTATGGGACGGGGAACAAGTCCTGGGCACGTGACCCCTGCCCCATGCTCCACTGCCTCCAGAGGAGGCTGGTCTTCCAAAGGCAGAAGAAAAAAGACACAGAGTTCCCGATTTCACAAGAAATGGCCCGGCTGGGAACCAAACTATGGGACAGGGAGTTAAATCTGAGACCGTGTCCCTCCTCCCTCCCGGGAGCTGGCGTGCTGGGGACCCTGGTACACGAGCGCCCAGAGAAAGGCTGCTGCGTGGGCTTCCCTGAAAATGCCAGCTGTGACCTCAAGCGGAACGCGGAGGTCATCCGCGCAGTCACTGGGACGTCCTCGGGAGCCTGCAGGATCCCAGCCCCGATGGCACTGTGTGACGCGCTGTTCAGCTGCAGCGGGGGCTCGCCTGGTGATAGAAGCTCAGCACCACAAGACGTCGGCTGTGAGCCAGGGGCTGTGCTGAACGCTTTCTGTCACGTGCCACTCCGCCCGACAACCCTCCTGGGAGGCAGGCGGGATGATCCCCGTTTAACAGGGAAGGAAACTGCCGAGAGAAATGAACTCACTACGGAATCTCACTCATCTGGAAACGGGACTCAGATCTGAGCCTGGGCCCGAGCAGAGGGTCTCGGAATCCAGCCTGAAACAGTCGCCCTGGGGGTGCTCACCATCGATTCCCCAGTGAAAGGAGTGAGGGCCCCTGGGAGAAGCACATCATTTCAGGAAAAGGACAAGGCGTGCCTGGCACCTTCTGTGGCACTGGAAAGTGAGACGTGCTCGGGAATTCATGGGGCGTGGAGGAAGGACAGGGAGCCGTGTGGGGCGTGGAGGAAGGACAGGGAGCCGTGTGGAGGAAGGACAGGGAGCCGTGAGGGCAGTTCCCAGCGGTGAGCAGCAGAATGATAACCGACAGCCACGGGTTGTCACACGCTGAGTCACACTGCCCCGGATTTATGTGTGGAAGTCCTGACCCCCAATGCATTAGACTACGACGATCTGAGACAGAGTCTTTAAAGAGATGATTAAGTGGAAATGAGGTCATCAGGTGGGCACTAATCCAATACGACTGGCGTCCCTATAAAAAGGGGAGATTGGACACAGGCGCACAGAGGGAAGACCCTGGGAGGGCACGGGGAGAAGGCGGCTGCCTGCGAGCCCAGGAGGGAGGCCTCAGGAAACCAGCCCTGCTGACACCCTGACCTCCGACATCCAGCCTCCAGAATCGTGAAGCAGTAAATATCTGTTGTGTAGGTTCCCCCTTCCTTCCTTCCCCCCGCCGTCTCTGGTACCTTGTTAGGGCCGCCAGGGACAACGAACGCATGGGTTATAAGCCACAGGGCAAAATAAATATCCATGAGTCCAGACCAAGAGCAAATAAATAACTGGTTCAACAAATGAGGAAGAAGAGAAAGCCCTTCCTTGCAGTAGAATTCCAGTTAGTAGATGCAGAGGGAAGGATGAGAATAGAAAAATCACCACTTCAAGGCAGGGATCATCAACGAATGCTAAAATGAACGTGTGGGAGAGCAGTGCGAAACAAGGTATTTACAAACATCCCACATACGGTCCTTACTACAGACAAAGGGAAAGGGGTCACTTTGCCATGGAGAGACCTGGCCGACTCCACCCTGACCCAGTGATGAGGTCAGCATCACCAGCGATAAGACGGGAAGACAGAGGGCGCAGCACACGTCTGTGGTGTGCTCGCCAAAAACGCACTGCTGTGTTCAGGCATGAGAACACATCGGGCGAACCTGAATGGTGAGACGGGCAGAGAGAAAACAGCCCGCGAGCATTCTTCAAAAGTGCGCCGACGGTGCAAGACAGAGAAAGACTGAGAGGCTGGCCCAGATTTAAGGAGAACACGGTGACCTGGCAACTGAGTGCAACGAGCAGCCCTGGTTGGGTCCTGGGGAGGAAAAGACGGCCGTGGGACCACTGACAACCAAAGAACATGCGTGCATCCATGCACAGCCCATGGACACAGACAGCAGTGAGCTGAAGGTCTGGGGCGGGGGGAGGGGGGTGGACTAGAGGGGTCAATGGGGGAAAGGGGGCTATGGAATACTTTCACCAATGAAGATTTTTAAAAAAATATTTCACTGACGCCTGCAGATTCCATAGCAGTGCCACGCCCTCGCCAAGGCCCTGGATGGGAGCGCTGTACTGCGGTTAGACAAGATGCTAACAGTTGGGGAAGTGAGGTGAAGGGTAGAAGGAAGTTCTTTGTACTATTTTGTAAGTTTTGGGGGGAGGGGGAGTTCATCTCAAATTATTTCCAAGAGAAAAGTTAAAGATCTTTTTAAAAATTTTTTTAAAGAAGCGGATTACTGGTCCTCCCCCGAGAGTGTCGGATTCGGGTCTGGGCTGGGCGGGTCTGAGAATGTGCACGTCTAACCAGGCCCGGCTACAGCGGCTTCCTCCTTGAGGGGTGAGCACTCCTTCCTCCATCCACCCACCCACCCCTCCATCCATCCTTCCCTGCACGGGTCCCCCGTGCTCTGCCTGGCTAACCCCTCGCTGTCACCAGGCTCTGGGTTAAGCTGCGCCAGCAAACACCCTCTAACCCTGCGGAAAGCGCTGCTCTCTGTGCAGGCTCCTTCTGAGGGAGCCCTGCGTGCCGTACGCGCACTGTTCACAGGTTGCTCGCCTGTTGTCATTCTGTGGGGCCTGGGGGAGAGCAACAGAGCTGAGTCCCAATTCTGAGGGTGCCTGCATGCCACCACCCTCTTCTAAACCGCAGGTGACCAAAGGCCTGATGTGGGGTGTTGGGGGGGCGGAGGAGAGGGGGTAGCCTTGGCTCCAGAGCCGGAGAGGAGAGGTGCCAACACACTCAGAGCCCCCACTGCTCTGCATGGAGCCTCCCGGGGACCAGGCACGTCCTCCCGTCATCACCATGCACGCTCGGCTCCCTGCCTGGAGCCTGGGAGCGCTCATGTATCGCCAAGCACAAGCGCCTGGGGCTGGGGAGACCTCCTGGCGCCCCTCCGTGGGTCTCGGGCTCATGAACTATCAGCAAAAGGGACCCCCCACTGTCAGAGCTATTTCTCCCCAAACAGATTCCCTTTCAGATGCCTGGGCTGCTCTTTTTTAATGAATACATTTTTACTGATTTCAGAGACGAAGGGAGAGGTAGAGAGAAACATCAATGGTGAGAGAGAATCACTGATCCGGTGCCTCCCCCCCCACTGCTCTGCATGGAGCCTCCCGGGGACCGGGCACGTCCTCCCGTCATCACCATGCACACTCGGCTCCCTGCCTGGAGCCTGGGAGCGCTCACATATCGCCAAGTACATGCACCTGGGACTGGGGAGACCTCCTGGCACCCCTCCGTGGGTCTCGGGCTCATGAACAGTCAGCAAAAGGGACCCCCACTGTCAGAGCTATTTCTCCCCAAACAGATTCCCTTTCAGATGCCTGGGCTGCTCTTTTTTAATGAATACATTTTTACTGATTTCAGAGACGAAGGGAGAGGTAGAGAGAAACATCAATGGTGAGAGAGAATCACTGATCAGGTGCCTCCTGCATGCCCCTTATTGGGGATCGAGCCCGCAACTGGGGCATGTGCCCTGACTGGGAATAGGTCGTGACCTCCTGGCTCCTAGGTCGATGTTCAACCACTGAACCACACCAGCCGAGCTCAGAACCCTGCTCTTAACGTCTGTGCTGACCTGCCAGGGAGCTGGGGGACTGGAGTGGGGGAGGGCGGGGGGGAGGGACGACACACATGATCATTATGTCCCCACACCCTCGCGGCACCCACAGACCTTTGTACCCAGGGCTCGGCACGGGTGAGCTCACCGCCCGGTCCCCTAGATAATTACTCTCCTGAACGCTTAGCCGCTCTGTCACTGGCACGACTGGCCCATCGTTTCCCTGTCACTGCCTCTCCATCATCCACTGCTTCCTCCAGGAGCATAAAACAAGCAAACCTTCGCACAGGGTGGCCCTGGTGGGGGAAAGGACTTCAGGTGAGCTCCTCGATGCCCCCTCCTCCCTCGCCTCCTGGGGACAGAGTCCACCAAACGCCCCACAGCAGGTCACAAACCAGGGAGCGTCCGAGTCACCTGGGGGCTTGTTAGACACAGACTGCGGGCCGCCCCAGGGCTTCTGGTCCAGCAGGTCTGGCCCGCCCTCTGAGACCTCTGGCCTGGGGAGCGGGGAATAAGGTCCCCAGGGTGCCTCAGCCTGTAGGAAGGGGCCCTGGGAGCCCCATCCCCGCGCATCCAAAGGCCACCCCCATGGTGGGGGCCAGGACCGCTCTGCCTCCCAAAAGAAAGCCAGTGTGGCCCATGTGCGAGGTTCCTGAGGCCTGGGACTGGGCCAAGTGGGCGTGACGCTGGAAACGGGGCACCAAACAGGATCACTGGGGTCTCAGACATCGGGGAGTCTGATGAGCTGTGGCTCCATCATGCCCCGGAGGCAGGGGCAAGAAGGCAGCTTCCCACGCAGCCTGGTTTCTCCCCAGTCTCCCTCTCGGAGCGTCTAGTTCGAGGTGTGTTGGGTTGTGTTTTTTTGCACGAAGGTAAACGGGGCTGCCTGGCGCTGCTCCCTGTTCTCTGTGGCTGTTCAGTCACCTTCACACAAGCAGATGCCGCACAAAGCCAGCCTCTCCCTGCCTGTGTGTGTGTGTGAGTGTGTGAGTGTGTGCATGCGTGACAGAGAGAGGTGCCAGACTTTACACGTCCCTTTATCTCATTAGAGCCCACAGTTTCTGGAGACCGGAGGCCCAGAGATCACCCAGCATGTTCCCAGCACAAATCGCCAAGGCCGTCAGAGACACACGCTTCCTTAACAGACACGCAGCGGCTGCCGAACCCAAGGGAAGAAGCCACACCACTTCCCCTGAGCTCCTCCCACGTCAGGAAGGTAACTGGCATGTTTTCGCCCAGACAAAGACAGAATCGCCTCCAAAATATCCAAAGGTCTTCCTTTCATTACTTCAGTTATGACCCGGGTGCAGGTGACGGTGGTGACATCCCAGGTGACAGCATCAGATGCCGGAGAGAGGGGCCACGCGCAGACCTGGAAGCCTGGACGCTAACCAGCAAGTACAAGGAGGTTGGCTCACGCGCCCGTTACACGCGGAGCAGCGCGGAGAACCATCACGGTGTGCTTTATACACCGTAAGCCATTTAAAAGCTTCAAGATCATGACGGGAGCAGTGCAATCGTGCCCATTTCACAGATCGGGAAATCGAGGCTCCGAAAAGCAAACGACTGTGCCCAGAGTCTCCCGACAAAGAGAAGGCTGGGTCAAGAGCCTCTGCCCTTCTTGTCCAACTCTCAAGACCCTGCTTTCTCCATCAGAACATGCCATGCCCTCCTGTGCCCACCTGGGTACTTCTCAGGGGTGGTGGTTTGAACAGCGACAGCTACTGGAAACCAGACACTTCATCTATTTTACACAAAATGCTGGGGGTGGCTGACTACGCTCCCGTGTATGTTTGGTTACCATGGTAACAGTATCACTGTGGATGCTGTCTTTCCTCTCCTGCTGCCATGCCCCGTTCATCTCCCTCCCCCTGTCCCGCCCCTCACCCCGGAACTCCGGGATGGACTCAGGGCGCCCCAGAGAGCAGGCCTCACCTGGGAAGGGCTCCTTGAGGAAGTGGCCGTTGATGGTCTGGTTGGCGGTGCCCAGCGGGTTCTTGGCGATGAGGGTGTAGTTGCCGTTGTTGTAGTGGGTGGGCTTGTTGAAGAGCAGGCAGCCCTCGGACACCTCGCCCTCCTGGTAGAACTCCACGCGGATGATCTTGGACTCGCGCAGGGGCTGTCCGTTGTGCAGCCAGTGCAGGGTTGGCGGCGGGTTGCCGCGCACCATGAACTCGATGCAGTGCTCCAGGCGCGGCTCGGGCTCCTCCAGGCTCACCACGCGCGGAGGGTCTGCGGGGGAGAGGCCAGCTGGTGCCAGGACACAGAGCTCCCAGGAGCTGGCACGGGAATCCCACTTCCCGCCCCCACCCTGCTCGAACAGACTGAGGGAATCAGAGGTGCCCCCCAGGCACCCCCCAACAGAAAGGAAGAGATGTCTATCTCGACCCGAGCACCCTGATCGGCCAGGAGTCGTGAAGGCACAGCTGAGCGGGAGGCACCATCGTCCGAGAGGCAGGGACACCCCTTCCTGGGGTCACTAGCCCAGGACTGACTTGCCCCTCCTGGCTGACCAGCCCCCTGCCCGGCATGCACACAGCCACCCCCTCCATGGCGGCCACTCACAGTGGACCGTGAGGGCGACGCTGGCGTTGCTCATGCCCACCACGTTCTCTGCGATGCACGTCAGGGAGAAGCCGTTGTCCTCGCTCGTCACGTTGACCAGCGTCAGGTTGATGGCGTGCACATTGGTCCAGTTCAGGTTTGTCTAAAACGCCAGTAAAAAGACGGCAATCAGACCATTTCCACAAGGGTGGCTCCCCCACCTCACCCCAAACAGCTTCTGGAATCAAAAGGAAAAGCTAAGCCTGGCCGGCGTGGCTCAGTGCTTGAGCGACAACCTATGAACCAGGAGGTCACAGTTCAATTCCAGGTCAGGGCATTCAAAGCCCGGACTGCAGGCTCCATCCCTAGTAGGAGGCGTGCAGGAGGTAGGCGATCCATGTTTCTCTCCCATCAATGTTTCTGTCCCTCTCCCATCCTTTTTCTTAAAAATCAATAAAAACATATTTTTTAAAAAAAGGAAAAACTGAGTGGAAGGTAAAGGAGGCTCATCCGGCGAATGCGCACTGACCGAGGGCCAGGCTCTCTCAGTCAAGGGCTCGCGCAGCCTCCCATGTACCCGCTGAGGTGCATGGCAGCACTGTACCCATTTCACAGGTGCAGAAACTAAGGTGCTTAGCAGTTTCATAGCATGTCTAAGAGCACGTCTCCGTGTCCCTCCCAGAGAGACGGGACCACGACTGTCCCTCTACTTCCCTCTCTTCCCGTCTCTGGCTTGGATTCTTGCGTCTCATTCAGACTAAGAGGTGGTGGGGCCCAGCCTCCTGGTGCAGCCCGGGCCCAGGTGCCTACCTGGTGGGTGTTGATGGACTGCAGCCCGGTGACCATCCAGTCCACATCGGGCAGGGGCGAGCCAGAGCCGTTGCACGTGATGACAGCGTTGTCGCCCTCCCGCACGGTCAGGTTCACGTGGCTCACGCTGATCTCCGGGATGTCTGGAGGGCGGACAGGGCGGAGAGGACAGGCAGACACTGACTCCCAACACGTGGCCCCAACAGTGACTCCACACCACCCGCTGGAGCTCTCGGGAGGCCGGACACCGCCTCCCCAGCGACGTCACCCTCGGACTAGAAGCCGCTGTGGTTGGACTCCCCCACACGGCACGGACCAGAAGTCAGGTGACAGCTCCTCCTGGGGAGCTGGTCCCCCAAAATGAGCTCTGAGATCCTGGGGACCCCAGGCATCCTGAGATTGCGGTCTGTGCTTGGGCCCAGGCACCCGCTTTTCTAGAAGCACCTGAGATGGCCCTGATACAGAAGGTCGGGGCCCACACTGCGAGGAGACACGTGCTCAGGTCTGGCTGGCAAGCGACTCCCAGGCAGGAGGTACTGGGGTCTGATGAGAAGGGGCGCACTGAACCCCTCTGCATTCCCGAAGCCAGCCTCCGCCTGGCGGCTCAGGAGGGGACAGGGATGCCCAGGAGGGGAGAGATGAGCCAGATCTGCGCCAGGGCTGAGTTCAAGGCGGGGAGGGCGAAAGGGAGGGGGCGCCCTCTCTGGAGTCTGAGGGCCCCTAGGGCGGCGGGCGGCGCACTCACCACACTGGCTGATGTTCATGCGGAACAGGGGCAGCTGGGAGCCCTCGGCGCTGATGCAGTAGAGGTGCTGGCTGTTCAGCTTGGCCTCACCCTGCTCCTGCCACAGCTGCATCCAGCGGATGTCACAGCTGCAGTTGAAGAAGTTCTGCTCCAGCCTCCTGTGGGCAAGGAGAGGGGAGGGGACTCCTGAGCCGAGGCGGGCTCCTCCCGGGGGCGGGGGAGGTAGGTGAGCGGTCTGTGTCTAAGACAGGCCAGCTCGGCCCACGAACAGCACCTTCGTTTCCTTCCACGCTTTCCTCTAGGACCTGATCCAGCAGGAGGATCGCACATGAGACCCGTTCTCGCCTCTGCCCCAGATCCTCCTGGGAACTGTCGGCAGTTTCCTCCCAGACAAGGAGGCACACGCAGCAGAAAGCATGTGGTGTCCGCAGTGGCCTCTCCTGAGCGATCCTGAGGGCAGGGCTCAGGCAGAGGGAAGGGCAGGGGCAGAGCAGGGCAGGCCCAGGAGACCAGGGCCCCAGCCAGGAGCTCAGCCAGGCTGCAGGGACAGACAGGGACCCTCCAGGGCAGCCCCCCTCTCATCAATAATGCGGGTGGCCCACACCCAGCCCTGCCCCCAGATGGCTCGGGACTAATGGCAGGGCCCTGGGGGCTCCCACAGATTCACTCGGCCCCCGGGGCATGGGCACCAGACACTCCGCTGGGGGCCTCGGCCAAGGCTGGGCGTTGAGGAAGCCTGGATGCTCCGCAGTTGCCTCTGGTTTCCCCTCCCCCACAGCACGGCTGCCGGGGGCAGCCCTCGGGCAGGGCCAGGACGTGGAAACTGAGGAAGGGACCAGGTCTGCTGTCACGGAGGAGCCCATGCCCACAGGGCCAAGGGCCAGCACAGGCCTCCCGACAACACAGTCCGGTGGCAGGAAAAGCACCCAGAAGACCTGGGTGGAGCCAGCGTGCACTGACCAGTGTCCCCCGGCCCAGAGGACACGCCGAGTCCCATCCCCAGCGCCCGTGAAGGTAGCCTGCGTTAGAAACACGGTCTTCACAGGCGTAATCACGTCAAGGATCGTGGGATGAGGTCATTCTGGATGGAGGGTGGACCCTAAATCCAATGATGGGCATCTTTATGAGGGAGAGTGGGGAGAGAGACCAAAGACGAGATGATGGGAAGGACGCACAGACAGCGTGAGAAGACGGACGCCAGTGCTCCAACCCAAGGACCCAGGAGCCGGGAGGCTGGAAACGGCAGGAAAGATGAGCTCCCGTGAGCCTCTGGGGAGTGTGCCCTGCTGGGTCTTGATTTTGGACTCTGGCCCCCAGAGCAGTGAGAGAAGCGGTTTCTGTTCATTTAAGCCACCAGATTAGTGGTGAGACGGGACGGCAGCGCTGGGAAAGCAGTACAGCCGGGACCTTAATTCTCCAGGCTCTGTTTTCCCGTCTGTAAAATGGGGACAACTGCGCTCGGCCTTCCTTCTTCACACAGTTATCGTGAGGATTAGTGAAGTGTGCTCACGTGCTTTGTGAATGAGGCCAAGATGATGATGATGATGACTGCACTATTATGAACATGACGGCTCAGTGACTTCTCAGAGACCCGTGGGGAGTGGTCACGGCAGGACTGGGAGAGGACAGCGCCAGGATAGCTCAAACCCATTCCCGACACGCAGCTAACCCTTCACCACGTCGATTAAATCTGCAAACTGTAGCAGGAGTAGCGATCACTTTGCTTTAAGAAAATGAAGTACTCCAATCTATGTGAATCACGCCTGCCGTGTGTGCAGGGCATGAAGGGAACGGTCCCCGGGGTGTTTCCGGAGGGTTCTGTGCCGTCAGTTTCTATCCTCCGTGCCTCTCGCCTAAATTACATCATGGGACACAGAATCCAAGGGTCTCTCCTGCCAATTCATTATCTCTAAGATAATCTCGGATTCTTGCTCCGATTTCTGCCAGGCAGTTCCAGTCTTCCCTGGAAGAAAAAACACCATCTTGCCTTAACCAGAAACTTCTGAGAGCACTGAGCAACGCCAACTCGCATCTCCTCCAAGCCAGGCCTGGAACAGTGCTGACAACTCTGAAGGCGCTGCCAGTCCTCTCAGCGAGAGAGACACAACCTGGGCCAGGGGCAGGGCCAAGACCACAGCCTCCATCTCGTGCAAAAGTAACCGAGAAAGGGCCTGGCCATCACCCCATGAACCAGGAGGTCAGGGTTCCATTCCCGGTCAGGGTACATGCCCGGGTTGCAGGCTCCATCCCCAATAGAGGGCGTGCAGGCGGCAGCCGATCCAAGATTCTCTCATCATTGATGTTTCTATCTCTCTCTCCCTCTCCCTTCCTCTCTGAATTCAATAAAAAGGTATTTTTAAAAAGCAAGAAATGGCTGGATGCCCTAGTTTGCCCTCGGTGCCACTTGAGCCTCGACCTCACCCTTCTGGCTGCCACAGCGCACAGAGCCATCTCCTCCAGCCTCTCCTCCAGGGCGAAATTCTAACTTCCTACAAAGAGCCGGCCCACCCCGCACCCTGCCCACAGGCCCACAGGCCCACAGGCCCACAGGCCCACGGGCAGACCCTGGCAGCCTGACGGCTCCTGGCAGATGGTGCCATGTGGACTAATCAGGACGTCGGACAAGAAAACACTGCCCCCTCTCCCGCGGGCCAGGAACTGAGATTGTTTGGATTTTAATCATCGCCACAGCCAAGAGCCAACACGCGGCCCCTCCGGCCAAAAGATAAATTTTCCACTCTGGCCACTCAATTCTTCCTCAAAAAATAGACCCCTGCCAGGGCGACTGCGCCTCAGAGGGGCTTCTTTATCTTACAAGTGAATTCTTACCCTATTTAACAGCGCGACAGAATGAAAAGCTCTGTGGACAGGGGCTCACGCACTGACTCGCGCGGACCAATGTCTTCATTCCTCCATAAGTCACATGCCGCGCACGGAGAATCGATCCCGGGCAGAGATGAATGCAGAATCCCATGATCCTCTGGGAGGAGCCTGGCATTGGCTTTAAATATATATCCTCGAACAACTGTCTCTAAAACTCCACGGAACTGGTCGCCAGGACAGCACGCCACGGATTTCACATCCATTGATTTTTCTGAACGTTTTCTCAATAGTGTAGGCACCTGCAGGCCCCAGGTGTCCCCAGGAGAGAACATCTGTCCCTGGCCGCCCACAGGTGCGGGGCTCAGGCACTCCAGGGTAAGTTGATGCAAGACTCCCCCAAAAGAGAGCCCATAATTAGCTCACTTATGTCAGGGCCCCTGGTCACTCCTAGGGCCACATATGGAAAAAGCGCCATCATTCATTCTTTGAAAATTATCGTAGAACAGATCCATGGATTGGAAACAGACGACGGAAAACGCTGGGAAAGGAGGACGGGGAGGCGGGCGGTAGATGAGGATAAAGGGTGGACAGATGATGACGGAAGGAGATCTGACTTGGGGTGCTGAGCACACAATACACTGTATGGACGACGTGTTATAGAATTGTACCCCTGAAACCTATATAATTTTATTAGCCAATGTCACCCCAATAAATGCAATTTTTAAAGAAGTTGGGAGATAGCTGAGCACAGTGGTCAAGAGCTTGAGTCCACTGGCTACCCACTGAGTTAATGGGTGACCTTACACAAGATACTTAACCTAAGTACCTCAGTGTCCCCAGTGTGAATGACAGTAATAATTCCTCCCTATAGAATTTCTGTAAGGACTGAAGCAAGTTCCACCCAACACTCGATAGACTGGCTGGCCCAGTGCCGCCCAGAGTGAGTCCTTAGAAACAGCGTTAGCAACGGCACCATCCTGTTGAGTTACCTCTGAGGGCTTTTCTACCTTCAAAGATGGGAACGCAGACAACACTGGTGTGTAACCACCTGACCGTCAGATGTCTGTGACCGTCTAGCGTTTCAGTGCTTTATACACAAATACGTATACACTTACCTTGTTCCGAGCTCGGGTAGGAGTTCCTACTGGTGTGCCCCTGGTCACAGCCCCACGGGACTAAGGAACCCTGATCCCCATGCCTATTGTGCCCACACAAGAGGAGCAGCCGGTGGGACGGCAAAGTCCTGAGAAAGGAAAGCAACCTGCAGCAGGACTGCCCGAGCTCTCCGACACGGGCAACGAGACGGTCCGTGCCCTGCCCGGCCCTGGCGGGGCCTTAAGCCTCGAGGGCACTATGCCCATGGGGTGAGCAGGGTAGACACGACCAGCGGGTGATGGGCTGCTGGGATGCTGGATGGAAGTGTTCCCCTCCCCCAACGCTGGGTCGGAAAAGGAACTCGGGCCAGACCAGCTTGGAAGGACACGTGCTAAAGGCCACCGCGTGGCAGGCTCCCAGCCACTGTCTGTGGTGAAGGCGAAGAGGCAGTCTGCATGCAGGGACCTGGGCCTGAGTCACCAGCCACAGGGAGCAGGAGCTGAGTCTCTGGAAACCTGGCTCCCTAAGTTTATGCCCCCCAGCTCCTTCGCAATGAATTCCCTGGTTGATTCCCTCAACATCACATGCTGTCCCTCGGACAGAGATGACCCAATGACTCACACACCAACAGGAGCTATTTGGTTCGGCAGCGCTCACGAATTTCCACTCACCCGCCCATCATGTGTCTGGCCGGGGAAGAGGGGCACTGATCCGCCTAGAAACGCCGCAAAGCTAAGCAGACCACAGGCAGACCGATGCCCACGCTCTAGCCAGACAGGCTGGCAGAGAATGGGAGGCGGGAAAGACGAGCAAACGGAGGTCAGAGGCCCGGGGTCGGGGCCCGGCTCTGCCAGGCCCTCGCGGTGTGATCTGGCTGCGTCTTCTATGACTCTCTGGGCTCAGAACCCACGCCTGAACGTGTAGCGGCCACTGCATACGGAAGCAGCATCCGCCTGCCGCCCAGGATGCTGGTGGCAGTAAAGCTAAGGTCCGGGAAACGAAAGCACGCCTGATCCGCTCTACAAGGTTCGACAGTATCCGTGTTATTTACCATAAACGGATCAATGCCCTTTCCTGCTACAAACATCCGTGCCGTGAGCACTGATCACCCAGCGATGACAAAAATGGGTCCCGCTGAGAGCGAGATTCCCGTCTTAGGAGCTGTGAGGTGCCGGAAAGAGCATCCGAAATCAAGCGGCGGGCGGGCGGGCTCTCGCTGAACATGGTACACCTGTCACCAACCCCAGCAGCCCCTTCAGGTGGCGCCCAGCCCTGGGTGGCTCCGCTGCGACACGCCCCACCCAACCTCCACCACCACTCCGCCAGGCTGGGCCTCCCACACCAGACTTACAATTCCCGCAGACTCAGCGTCTGGAAGAGCTGCCAGGACAGTGTGGTGAGCCGGTTACTCGACAGGTTTCTGCGGGAGAGACAGAAAAAGGGGGAATTAAAGGGGAACTCTGGCCCAGACGGTGCTCTGGGGGCAGGCATGGCCACTGCATGGGGGCCCGCCGGCTTGATCGTTCTCCTCCTTTGCCTCATCCTGCGATCCATCCGCCTGCCACTAGTCCAGGCCGTAGGCCAGGTTTGGAGGGGATTCTGAAGCCTTTCAAAGGGCTAGGTTTCACTAGTAAAAATTTTTCTCTTTTTAAAAAAAATTTTTTTTATTGATTTCAGAGAGGAATAGAGAGGGAGAGAGGGAGAGAAACATGAATGATGAGAGAGAATCATGGATCGGCTGCCTCCTACACGCCTCCTCCTGGGGATCGAGCCCGCAACCGGGGCATGTGCCCTTGACCGGGAATTGAACCCAGGACCCTTCAGTCTGCAAGCCGACGCTTTGAGTTTGAAGGTGAGTACACTCCACGAAACCATCACCATCCACAATGCCATCCACTGAACTATCTATCACCTCTAACTAACAGTTTCCTTCCCCTCTTTTTTTTTTTTTTTTTTTTTTTTTGAGAGAGAGAGAGAGAGTGGAAGGGAGGGGGAGAGACAGAGAAAGAGAAGCATCAATGTGAGAGAGATACATCGATCGGTTGCCTTCCGTACCCTGACCAGGGGATGGAGCCTGCAACCAAAGCACATGCCCTTGACCGGAATCAAACCCGGGACCCTCCAGTCCGCAGGCCGATGCTCTATCCACCGGCCAGGGCCCCCTCTCTTTTTGTGATGCCAACATTTAGCATGAGCTGTACCCTCCTGACAGATGCTGGCGCATATAATAGAGCATGCTAACCGTGCAGGGCGCTGTGCTATAGGTCGCTAGGGCTTCTCACAACGGGAACTCCGAACCTTTCACCCCCAACCCTCGTAAGGAAACTGTACACAGCGCCTGCCTCCCCGCTAGCCAGTCCCTCCCGGCAGGGACGCCCTCGCTGATCCAGACATCAGCCTTTGTTCACACTTCCTTTCTCCCCCTAATGGCTACTTAATTGTCCTCATTAGGATGGACAGGGGAGAGGAGCAGCCATCCGTCTTCGAATGAAAGAAGCGACACCCACCACTATTATCTGCCGGGCCCAGCAAACACCCTGGGATGTGATCGCGGCTGTAGGGGCAGCCATTCTGCGCTGCTGGAGCTGAGTGGCCCCAGGAGCACCGCTCTCATCTGGCAGCGATAATGGGTCAGGACACACTCAGGTGAACACCTGCACGCGCACGCGCACACACAATGTGTGTGTTTGTGTCTATTAGACGTGCGGTAATAGATGCAAACAGAGACCTGCTAACACACACACACACACACACACACACACACACACCCGTATGCGCGTAAGCTCACAGGTGCGTCTATATTTAGAGGGCTTCTCCCACAAATATTTGCGTAGAGACAAATATAGGCTTCCCTGAGGAAGGCGGGGGTGGACGGCTGATAGGGCCTCCAGAACTGGCGCTGGAGGTAAGAATGAGGAGCCACGAGAACTGCAGCTGTGCTGAGCAGAGGCCGGGGACAGACCCAGCGAGGCCAGGAACTGGGCAGGAGAGGGCGCTGGCAGCTGGGCACGGGCCAGCGCAGTGGCCCCTGTGGGTCACAGGGGAGCTGGAGGAGAAGGGGGGAAGGGGCCGTGCCAGGGAGCAGTGCTCCAGGAAGCGGAGGGAGCGTGGGCCCAGGCCTGAGCGGGGCCTGGGCAGAGAGGAGAGGGGTCTGGGGTGAGGAGGAGGGGGACGTGCCGCCCCACCTTGCTGGCATGGCAGGGAGTTGGGCTGTATTTTAGGGAGCCAGGGGAGGCGATAGGGGGTTCTGTAGGGCAGGGCAGGATCTTATGGGCATTTCTAAGAACTGAGGACAACACTGGGCACACTCAGGAGGCGGCTGCGCTGCTGCAGGCGAGGAGGGGGAGCAGAGGTCAGCAGGGGATGGAGTTGAGGTGCTGGGGGTGGAGCCGCCAGGACTTCCTACTGGGTTGGAACTGGCAGAGGAAGGAGAGGGCCCTGAGCAGCCCGGGGAGCGGTGGCGGCATCAGTGACATGAGGAAAGCTGCCCAGGTCACGCCTGGGGGGACTGAGGGCCCCCCTGGCAAATGCTGAGGTGCCCGCTGGGCAGCCATGGGGAGCATCCGATGGCCGTGGGACCCCGAGCACCACAGCTCACCCAGGAGCAGGCGTTCGAACACAGGTCAGCCTGGGGCCGGGGCTGGCCCTTCCCCTCTGAGGCAGCCCTGTCTTCGGGGACAGCCCGTGGCTGATGGGGAGGGAGCCCCCGTGCCGAGGGTGCAGGGGCCGGCGGAGAAGGGCAGGGACCCCTTGGTCAAGGGCAACAAGCTCGGTATCAGCCTCTGAGTCTCCATCACCACTAGCCCCTGCGATGTCCCAGTCCATGTGAGGGATTCACCAGGGCGAGTCTTTCCCTGGTCGGCGGCCCCCCCACAGCAGCATGGGTGGCAGCACATTTCGGACACGGCCAGCACCCCACGCTGTCCACCCCACCCCAGCGCGCCCTGAACCAAGCCCTCAGCACCGGAACCGGATCGGATCGCTGAGCCCTGGGAACAGAAGCCGGAGGGGGATGAGGGGGCGAGACCCGAGTGGCCCGGGTGGGGCAGGAGGACCGTCGGGGCCGAGGCAGGTGCAGGCGGCCGGCAGTGCCCTTGGCAAAGGTCATGCTTTGCTATGTTAGGCAGAAATGTCACGAGAAAATTGGATTCTGAAAGAACTAAAATAACAGGCATTCCAGGCAAATAAAGAACAAGGAATCGCATTATCGTACACGTTAGAGAGGGCGGGGTGGGGACACCGCGGCGGGTGCTGCTCACCCAGGGCCGCGGCTTCCGGTGCCTCCAGCCCTTGGGCAGAAGGAGAAGCCCCCGCAGCATCGACTCCAGGTTGACTGTCCAGCTGCGACCCCTGAAAGCTCCATGTCAGGAGTCTGTCCCTCCCTCCTTCCCTCCGTCCGCGCCCGGTCACTCTAGCTTCCAGCCCCTGAGCCCCCATCTGCTCTCTGTCCACTCGGTCAGCTTCCCCAGGCACGCCAGTCTCCTCCTGTTCAGAGAGAGACCAGACCAGCGGTCTGTTCCGCTTGCCTCAGAGGCGAATGCCACGGTCCCTGACCTCTGCAGGGATCTCCCTGCTCTTACAGAAGACTCTTTCCTGAGTGCAGTGTGGGCTCAGAGCACCAAGTACAGCTGGCCAGACACCAGCAAGGCCGCCCCACCCGGCTCACGGGTGGCCAGGGCCTGTGGCTCACAGGCTGCAAGCACATGATATAAACCTCATTTCCTTCACCCACGAAGGCAGCCCTGGGAAAGGTGCCATTCTCCTTCCCTGGAGACCCACCAGCCCCTCAGCTGTCTGTCTGTCCGTCTTCTTCTCATCTCCCCCTGGAAGCAGCAGCCCACTGGCCCTCCATGACGGGTGGGTTCTTCTGAAACTGCTGAAGACCCTGGAGGAAAGGTCAGGGAAGGAGCACCCCCCCCCGCCCCCCTGGGCAGCCCCAGCCCCACGGAGAGTGCGCGTGGAAGGAACAGCCCGCGGGAGAAGGAGGAGGCTGCCAGATGCCGCCCGCGTCTCCGTGAGCGGGGACCTGACACCTCCTCACCGACACCACGCCATCTCGTCACCAAGGCCTGCTGCCGGCCCCCGAAAACCCAGAGCCTGCGATGTTCCCCTCGAAGGCCAAGAGATATTTGTCTGCATCACTGACATGTTTGCTTTTCCTCAATTAAATTGCTCTAAAAGGGGGTGGGGGCTAAAGCCATTTGAGCCGTTTTTATTCAGCTAAATGGCACTGGATGGCTCATGTAATGAACCTTAATGAAGCCAAAATGCTTTCTCTAATCAGATCTCAAGTGGCATGACTGGTGTCCTGACCTTCGATCAGGAGGCTGGGGCAGCTCTTCCCCACGGCCCTGTGCGGGGCTACGCCAGGGTTTCCCAGAGCGAGTTCCTGGGAATCGAGGTCTGCAGAGTATTAATGGGGATTAAAAGAGGGGAAAAAAAATTCATGCTGCTTGAAAAATGTCGTACTGAACAAAATCAAACGGGCTTGCCCTGCACGCCTTCTCAGAGCCTTTCTGAAGGAAGGACCTGGCCCGAGGCTCTCACACTCACTGGGCCACAGAGGTTTCTCCACGAAGAGTCCAGCAGAAATATCACCCACAGGGCGTGTCTAGAGAAATGATGGTTGTGATAAGAAATAGATGTTTGGTCTTTGTCCATTATTCCTGGCTCACAGCTGCCCAAACCCTTGTGGTTTCCTGAGAGAGAAGCACAATCAGGGCACCTTTTGTTATAACATTTGGTCTCACCAGGGTGTGGCTCAGGGGCTGAGCATCGACCTATGAACCAGGAGGTCACATTTCAATTCCCGGTCAGGGCCCATGGCCAGGCTGCGGGCTCCATCCCCAGTAGGGGGGCGTGCAGGAGGCAGCCCATCAATGATTCTCTCTCGTCATTGATGTTTCTCTCTCTCTCCTCCCTTTCTCTCTGAAATCAATAAATATATATTTTAAAAATACATATCTGGTCTCTTGTCCTCAGTTCCTGAAATCACCTCAGAGAGGGAGGTGAGTGTGGAAACCCCCACCAGCTGGGGGTGGCTGCCAGGAAAACCATGAACAGGGGTTGAACCTTTAGTCCCACCCCCCGAGCTCCAGGAAGGAGGGTGGCAGGTGAACCGGTCACCCAAGGCCGTGACTCAAGGTCAGCAAGCCTCCGTGAAAACCCAAAAGGAGGGGCTGGGAGAGCTTCCTGGTTGGGGAGCTACATGCTTCCGGGAGCTACATGCTTGCCGCCCTGCTGGGCCCGAAACTCCCTGGGGAGTAAGAGAATGGACCTTCCTTATCCCGTGGCCCCAATGTAATCACAGGGTCCCTAAGAGCAGAAGAGGGAGGCAGACAGAAGCTCAGGGAGAGAGATGCGACCGTGAGCGAAGGACAGAGAGATGATGGAAGAGGCCACAAGCCAAGGACTGGGGGC